GTTCTCTATATGACTCATCACTTGATTTTAACTTCGTCAATGTGAATACTTTGATGATTTGTTTTTGGTGAAGTCACTAAATAAGGTACCATGATTATAGAAACCATAAACAACTCAATGAAGACGATTGGTGACGGTAATGTTATTTTCCCTCTCGTTTTCTAACTATATATTGTTTCTATCAGACATGAACAAATATAGACTAGAGTTTATCGGTTCTATAACTTCCGGGCCTAGACCCGATGAAACCGTACTTTGATACTTTCAATGAAATTTTCCAATTAGAATAGGATAATCGCCTCGAAGATACGAACTACTTTTTTCACAGTTTTTTTGTATTCGGTGACTAGTGCACTCTACGATAATACTTTCTTCGAGACTCGAACTATATTGCCTTTGCTAGTTGAATAGATGCACAACATAAAACTATAAGTATTTGATACTAATCCATTCTCGAGTTAATCCTTTCTTTTTCTATATATTTAGAATTGATGTCTCCTATTCATATAATAATATCAGGTGCATCTTCCGTTGGAAAATCAACACTTGTCAATGAATGTTTACGAAAATTTCGTCAAAATAAAAGACTAAAAAATCTACACTTTAAACGTATTCAAGAAGTAGCACGCACTGTATTAAATCAATTAAAAATTACAGGAACACATTTAGAAAATTATATTAAACAAAACAATATTGAAAAATTTTCTGATGTGCAAGAAAAAATAATTTGTGAACAAACTCTATGTTTTGACAAAGAAAAACATCATAATTATTTATCAGATCGATCTGGTTTTGATGCATTAGCATATATTGATTGTTATTTTAAAAATGAACAAAAATCAAATTCAATTTTTCAAAGTGAACTATTTCAATTATTAATCAATCAATGTCAAAATGGTTTAATATATATTATTCATCCACAAGAAGATTTACAAGCACAAAATGATAATATGAGAATAGTACCAAATTATCAAGAACAAATTATATATACAGAATCTTTAAAACATTGGTATACGAAAGCAAATTTACCTTATTTTGTTTTAACTGATCTTGATATAACAAAACGTGTTGAATTTATTGAAAAACATATTGATGGTCTTTTTCATTGGTTATCACCAGAAATTCCAATTCCATTATGTTTACCATTTCATTTAAATAAAAAACAACATCATGAACAAAATAATATTGCAGTTCGATCACATTCAGATCAATCTTATATACGTTTTATTGAAATATTAGATAAACAAAATATTAAAATTAGTTATAAAAAATACGATACAAATCGTCTGGTAGAAAAATATGATCCATCTTGCTTGAATAATAAATTTGTTTCAATATTATTTGATGAAAAATTAGATAATACATTTATTGAAAAAATTTTAGTTAATCAAATTTTAATTAATGGTGAACAATACCATTTTATTGGTTATAGTAATAGTCAATTGAGAGGTCGTTCTTGCTATTTATATGCTGGTTCAATTGAACAAACAGAACAAATCATTAATGATAATGGAGATTTTAATAAAATTAAAAATTTGAGTAAACGAGCAGCACGTATTGGATTATTATTTTCAAGTTGTACACCAACAATTCATATTGAACAAGATCATGTTATTCAAATCGATGATATTGAAAGAAATGGTTATACTTTTACTGATGGGTAATCTTTTTTTTCAAGATTTTTTTACATATAATATGCATAGATATCATCAAGAAAAGAAAGTATGATATTGGCAGTAAAAGTTTCATTTTTTCTCTTGTCACTATGTTAAATTAGCGTAGTTAGATTTACTCCATCAATTTCACCACGATTCTCACAGTCAGGCTTGTAGATACTGAAATTAGGTGCAAATTCGTGCAATTTTACAATCTCTTTAAAAAAAGGTCTATCATGGACGTCTTTGGTACCCAATCAGTGCACCCTTCTCCCCTTTATCACATCCATTAGAAATTCTACTAAAATTGGAAAATATCAGCTTTAGTTTATTATGGTTCAAGTTTTGCTCACAGCTTTGTATTAAAGTTACGCTACTCCTTTCCCTTTGTTAGGTTTCTGGTGTACGCATGGTCAAAAAAATTTGAAATTCTAATGACAGGTAAATTTTGATAAGTAGAGCGATAGTTGTCAAAGACTCAAAATTCTCGAATGCTGTCTTCTACAAAATATTGAGATTACAATGGCGAAAAATGGCTCCAGTTTTCGCCGTCGTTTCTCAAAAGGGCTACGTTTGATTGAATTGAAAACTCTTTGCATGCACCAAATACTGTTTGGAGTAGATATCGTTTTATTTTCTGATATAATTTTTGTTTTAGTTCAATAAATTTCAATTGAAATGTTGGCAAAGCCAATAGTCTGTATAGATACATGATAAAGACTAAGCATAGCATCTATATTGTTCTAAATTAAGCTTTCATTCGACTAGAATATATTGCATGATTAATTAGTATACTGAATGTGTAACAATGTTTTTCCAAGGGATAACGCTATGATTTCAAATAGCATCTAAACAAGTTTTATACCAAATTAAAGTGTATCGAAAGCGAGATTTGTCAGTATTATATAGTAAAGATTATAGCAATTTTCCGATGTCGAGTTCAGAAAACTTCTGAAATTCTGCACCATACAGGGTGTCTCATAAGTTTTGAGGCGCGACAAAATTTGTTTATATGGACACATAAAACAATGTCTAATCATTATGTTTCTATACCAGGTTCGAGTGCTCGTGATGGCCTTTCAAATGATATATAATTGAATAAGATCATCCCTTTTAATAATAAAAATATAAACATGAGAATGTGATGATAAATTTTTCGAAAATGACCAAAATGATGCAGGGTGTATCAAAATGTTTGCAACATTTTTTTTTAATTTCGTACATATCTCAACGTAGGTAAATGATAAAATCTTGAATTTTTTTTAAAAAGATGCGCCGTGAAAAGCTCTACAAAAAATGTCTGAACAAATACCTATTGACTTGTTTTGATGGTCTACTCAAAATGAACAACCTTTCATGATGGCGCTACTTTCCAACGTATTCAGTATAATAAAAATATTTTGAAGACTTTTTTGTTCTACAATTGAGGTCTGTTTGTACAGACTTTGTAGAGCTTTTCATGGCGCATCTTTTTAAAAAAATTCAAGATTTTATCTTTATCTCAAGCTGGGATATATGCAAAATGAATCAGTTTTTGAAATATTTTTTATTGTATTCGATACGTTGGAAAGTAGTATCATCAT